ATTGGTCCCTTTGTTGATTTGCTATTATTTTGCTATTTTCCTTTTTTCAAATTATACAAATACATTACAATTGAGAATATTGTTAACATACCACTCCAAAGCATGCAATTTGGCCTTGTCATTGTTGGCTTGATTAAATGATTGGGGAATTGACTGAAATTGGCAAAAATGGGATGAGGTGGACAAAGATACGAAATTTTTAGAACTTGGACAAAAATAGCAAAACTACTTTGACTAATGCATTTCAGCCAAGTTTTTGGAAAAAAACACATCACCTAAATGCATTTCATGTGTTTTTATAGATCTATTGTTGGTGTTGGTGAAAAATAAAAATTAGGACCAATGCATTTGCTAAATGTGTTTGAAGAAAAAATTAATTCTCAATTGAAACTGAGAAACACACCTTGTATTAGTGATTTAATTTAATATTTTGGGTACCAAACACAAAGGCAAATGTGTATGACTAATGTTTAGGAGTATTTAAGCATTCAAGTTGTGCCCTGGTAAATAGCCACAGTCCATTGCATTTTAGGATGTTTGACCAAGGTCCAAGGCCAATTGTCAAATGCATTTGTTTGGTACAAAAAAATTGAAATTAAATTCATTAACACAGTATACAGTTCATATCTCAGATTTAATTGGGATTTTTTTCCCCTCTAATGCATTGGCCTAGTTTTCATTTGTCACCAACGCCAAAAATAATTTTCTGAAAACTAATGAAGCGCATTACATAAATGCGTCTATCCAAAAAAATGATTAAAACGCATTCTCCAAAATAATTCATATTGTCCAAGCTTTTAAAGTTGCCTTCTTGTCCATCTCATTCCATTTCGCCTATTTCAGTTAATGACCCTTTAATGATTAATGGGAATTTCTCAAGCTGGATATGATTAGAAACCGATTGCTAAGAAGAAACTGAATTACCAAAATTTTAAAATTTCAAATCTCGATCATGAGGGACATTAATGAAGATGCAAGAGATTACTCCTGTGGTATTGCAATAAATATTAGTGTCAATTTTTGACTGTTTGGTGGTGAAATTCAACCTTTGACTTGTTTGAAATAATGATTTTGTGTACACATCTTAGATAAATTGTATACTTGTGTTCTAAATACACGAAATACAAAATGGGATATCGGGAAGAAATTTTGCAGGGATGTTTTTGAGTTGCTTGAAGGGGGTGGGGGAGTGAGTGGACTGGAAACAACTGGCTGAGAAGACGGTGAAGTTATTTCCAGTTCTGCATGACTCCCTTTACTACTAATACTATACTAGTGGAATTAGCTGAGAACAATTGTTTGCTTTAGTTGTGAAAGTGGAACATATTTTGCTTTGGAGAAATTAGACAAAATGCATGGTAACATTTGTTTGTAGTTCTTGTATGATTGTTGAATATTTCTGTCTTGTCTTATGAGTTATGAGTCCTTGATTCAACATTCAGCCTTGATGAGGACTGCTATTGGTTGTGTTCTTGAGGTTTATTTATTTCTTGTAAAATTTTTTAATTACAATTTTATCGCTTTTCTCTTTCCTTATCTTTGGTGATTAATATTGTTGACAACACACAAATCTCTAGGATTCTCCAGAAGATGCTGTCGTTTCAATCTGTGGGCATGTCTTTTGCAATCAGTGCATTTCTGAACACCTAACTGGTGATGACACCCACTGTCCTGCTCCAAATTGCAAAATGCGGCTCAGTGTTTCTTCAGTATTCTCTAAATCAATTCTAATTGGTTCTTTATCTGATCAACCCAATGTAGTAACTGATCTTGATTGCCCTGGTTCTAGACCATGCAAAACATCTGATGTTTCATCTTTGGGATGTTCATATGATTCATCAAAAATCAAGGCCGCACTTGAGGTGCTTCTATCTCTGTCTAAACCACAGGAGTCCACTCCTAGAATTGTCTCAAGATGTGATCAAGGAGCTAGTTATTCAGGACAAATGTCTTGTTCAGGGGATTCACAAGTTAAAATGAATTTGGACACGAAATGTTCAACTAAAATAGCTGGAGAGAAAGCGCTTGTCTTTTCCCAATGGACAGGGATGTTGGATTTGCTTGAAGCTTGTCTAAAAAATTCCTCTATTCAGTACAGGAGACTAGATGGAACTATGTCTATTGTAGCCAGAGACAAAGCTGTGAAAGATTTCAACACAATTCCAGAGGTTAGTTGTAACTTAGTAACTTACCTTTACTCTCTTGGGATGATAATTTTGCTTTTCTCCTACATTAAGCTTCTTCTAAAACCTTGCACCAGGTGACTGTCATGATTATGTCTCTAAAAGCTGCAAGCCTGGGACTGAACTTGGTTTCAGCTTGTCATGTACTCCTCCTGGACCTGTGGTGGAACCCGACAACTGAGGATCAAGCAATTGACAGAGCACATCGCATTGGGCAGACTCGTCCTGTTACAGTTTTGCGGTTGACTGTAAAAGATACAGTTGAAGATCGTATTTTGGCTCTTCAGGTACTACATTTTGTTTTTGCTCATTTCTTATGAAATCTGAAAAGTTCTTTGTTTGGCTAGGCTGCAACTTCTCAAAAAGGATAAATATTTTGAATTTTTGATATATTGCTTTTAAGTTTTCAACAAGTCCAATTTTGTATGAATATTTGACTATTTAAACCCTTTCTATATTTGATCAAAGTTACAATAGAGGACAAGCATTAAATATATGAAGAAGATGTTTAGATCTCCAGAAGTGTCTTTAAATTGCCAAGTGTTGCATTTCATAATTGTGCTTATATGATCTTATAACACGTGATTTCCTGGGTTTCCCAGCAAAAAAAGAGAGAAATGGTTGCATCAGCCTTCGGAGAGGATGAGAATGGTGGTCGACAGACTCGTCTAACAACAGAGGACTTGGAATACCTGTTCAAGATATAAATCTCGATTTTTTTGCAGTATAGGTGGTGATATTTTAGTACACCATGGGCATCTCATTTCATTCTTTACCATGTAGCAGACCAGCTATGGTTCAGATTTCGAGATTCACACAATGCATCTTCAAAGTTCTAACAATTCATTGCTCCTTGTATAGAAAGTTGGTTTTAGCATTATTATCTCAAACAGCAACTGCAGTTTTGTTGGGCATATTGTAGATCCAATGAATTGAGTTGTTAGATGATATAGGTCATTAGTTGCACTATTTCCCATAGTTTAAGCCTTCTCAGCATAGCGATTGTTGATGTGTTATTTCTTATAGTGCCATGTAACTATGAATATAAAAAGAATTCCACAAGATGTTTCAGCTCTGATCTTTACCCTGTTTGCATTTTACCAGGGCCGTATTTTAAGTTTTGGTGGCCCTGTTCTAGTAAATAAATGTGGCCCTACCAAAATCATAATTTTTAAAACTAATACATGCAAGTTTCGAACCTTTGACCTCCAAGTTAAAATACAATAAATACACATTCTTACCATCTCTTCATGAAACCTTTAAAGTTTAATTGAAAACTTTTTAATTTTTATTTTTAAACTAGCTAGGTAAAAATTAAATATTGAACCTCTAAAATTTGGGGCCCCTCTAAAATTGGGGGCCCTGTGCGGTAGCCCAGCTTGCACAGCCTAAAATCCGGCCCTGCATTTTACTTCATGTATCTACTCAATAAAGTACAAAGGCCTAGCTGTACAAATTCAAGTTGTCTCCAAAATAATAAGTTGTGTGAGACGTGTAATGTGTTTTAGTTAAAATTTACTCCCTCCGTTTTATTTTGTGTGTCTGATTCAATTAATGAGATTTTATTGAAGTTATTTTTAATTTAATTTTTCATAATATTAAGTTTATTATTACTATACAAAATTTATATATTTAGAAATTATAATAAACAAATAAGAAAAAGTTAGTTCACCAATGAATATTAAATAGGACGAAAAAAGTAATATGTTTTGTTAGTGCATAGAAAAGTATTATTCCGCTCACGTGAGACTGTCTCACACAAGATTTACTTACCCTGTATGATTTGTTTTATCATTCCCGAACTTGATAAGGGCAACTTTAGTTAAATCGCTCGGGCAGTTAGCTTAGTAATCACAAAGTAAAAGAAAGAAAAATTACAATTTTGGTCTGAGTTATAGCATAATAGCAAATTCAGTAGTCTCCAATTGTCACTGAAGTGGCATTTTTAGTAAATTGACATACTCGGTAATAGGGATCACTGTTGCAAGCAAGAACTCGATAACTATAAGTGTAATTTGCTAAAAGTATCAATTCACTAACAATTTTAGGACTACTATTGCGCTATAACTCAAAGTGCAGTTTTTCCAAGTATGATAAGAATAAAGAATATCCAATGCTTATGAAATACAGAACAAAAAGGGCAAGTAAATGTTGGATAAGCAGGGAATAGATGCCAATGAAACGACAAGATAAATTTAACTGTTAAAAATTGGCATACAAAATAATTCAAAGAAAGAAGTTGGCCTCCATGACTAAGCTACTTCCAAGGGAAAATATTCTGAAGTGGTAGACTGGTGAGTGCAGAATGAATTGTATGATTCTTCACCAGTTTATGCCAAAAAAGAAATATGCATTTCCCTTTGCAATTTGGCATAATACTGATGACAATCCCACAATATGCAACTTGCAGCACTACACAACACATAAATGGAACACTTTATTTACTATTAGTTGTCACCACAACACTTTTTTTTGCTTTGATTTTTCATCTCTGTGCTTTTGACAGCCATTCATTCATATGACAAGTTATAATGCACAAAAGCTTCTATTTTTTGAGTGACGAGAGAAACCTACACCCACTACCCAAGGGTGTAAACCCTGATTGTGACCCTATTCAGCTGAAGACCATAAAGCAGTCTAGGTTGTCCATAGTTGACTGACTCAAACCAAGAAAGTCATTAGGCCACTCCCACTGAGAGTCAACTTGGAACTGTGTGGTTACCGAGCCAACAGTCTAACCAACCTGGCTGGAGTTACCCCTAAAGCTTCAATTTTGTGATGAGGTATGGTTATGCAATAGCAATATAACATGTAGAATTAGCAATTCAATGATATTGATTCACAGTGCTCATATCAAATTGATAAATCAGATTTCTCAACAGTCAACACTAATGGTGCAAGGACAACTCTAGAGAATCATAAGCTATGACAAACAACAACCTTTTCAACATCTATCATCCAACCATTTCAAGATATCAGTTCGAACAATCTCAACATTCTCATCGGTTTCTCCAAACAATAAGGAGTGCATCATACCATCATAAATCTTGATGCTCTTATCCTTGCTCTTCGCCATTCGGTACAATTCCCTGCTCACTTCTGGATCAGTCACAACATCAGCACTGCCATGTAACACCACAAAGGGGAAATCCACATCACTCAGTTTGCTGCCAACATAGTCTGTGACCCTCAAAAGCTCCACCACAGTGCCTAATCTTGGTTTCCCAGTATACCTATAGGGATTCATGGCAGCAATGATTTTCTTGCCTGGGACTTTCACAGACTTATGCATCAAATCAGCAGTGGGCACAATAGGGAGACTGGGTGCAAATCTTGAAAGGGCAGTCAAGAATTGGGGAATAGGCCAAGAAGGCTTGACCTTTTCAGAGATTTTACACATGGGAGCTATCAAGATTGCACCATTGAAGCCCTTAGGGTTCTTGAGGTGGATTAAAACACAAATGGCTCCCCCCATTGATTCACCATACAGAAACTTGGGGAGATTCTGGAATTGGGGGTTTAGGGTGAGGGTGGCATTGTAGAATGAAAGGCAATCCTCTATAACAAGATCAAGATTGGGCACATAAGCCTTGAGGCCTTGTGACTGGCCATGGCCTTCCAGGTCAAGGGCAAAGCAGGCATAGCCATTCTGGGCAAGGAAAATTGGGGTTGCCTGAAAAGTCCAACTGATGTCATTCCCATAGCCGTGGACCATAAAGATGATGCCACGTGGAATGCCGGCGGCGGGTATCCATGCTCTGGTGAATAGGGTTAGGCCTCTGGGTGAAGTGTAAAAGGATTTGGTTGATTTGATTCCTTGGGCAGTGTAATAGTCTGATTCTGGCGTGGTTCCCCAGTAATATGGTTGCTGAGGTGCAGCCATGGCGGAGAAGTCGATTGTTGTTGCTTCTTGGAAATTGAGGCGTGTGACCACACGTCCACTTTCTTCTATTCTTAAAAATTTGTTCTTTCTTACTGTAGTGTCAGTGTTAGTTTTGGCTTTTAACTGAAGCTAAAGTACTATTTTTGTTTTTTATTCCGCCCAATTATATCCGGGATCTCATAAACCCGCCATAAGCCCATGAATACTAAATCAAGTTAATCTAGTATTTAGATTTCACGCCAAACTGTACGTTTCTACGCACAAAGAGTCATCTACCCAAACTCAAACCCCCAAAGTACTTTTTTTTTTTTTTTGGCATAAAATCAACTAGCCATGTTTTGACTTTTAATTGACATTAGTTCTACAATTTTATTTCAAGAGATTTCAAACTTTACACACAAAGATACCATTTTTACAGAATAAAATATTAATTTTTGATGTTGTCACTTATTGAGGATGAATTTTCAACCGGAGATATAATGATTCAATAAAAATAGTTCAATCACTCTAATATCGTTATTATTGTTTTAAATATTCCAATTTTATCGATCTCTAAATAAAATATGGCCTAAAGACCAATTAGCCTACTATATGGACTAAGTACGGAGAATATAACATGAATTGATTGATATTATTCGATAATGTTTAATAACATATCAATCCTTGAAATATGGTAATTTAAATTGTTTTGACTAAGTCATGAATTGATGATAAATATAAAAATTAAAATAAAATATCATAAAATTAAGGAATAAATGCCAATGAAATATTTGGAGATATACACTCATTTTTTGAAGAATAATCATAGTGTAATGTATGATTTGAAAGAGCAAACAATACATGTCTAACATAGGTTTGATCGAAGTCCGCGCAAGAATTGGTGGCGTAGTGAGCTAATGAAGAATAATGGAGTCGGCCCAAAAGGGGTGATCGAGTGGGCGACAGTTATATCATGGATCGGGATCCATCTTGTAAGGTAGATTTGGGTTAAAATACACAATTTATATAATGAATGTTTATAATTTACATACTGAATGTTTATGTGAATATTCAGTATGTAAATTGTGAACATTTAGTATATAAAAATTATGAACATTCAATATATAAATTATGTATTTATTCCGAGTGGGTGATGAAACATGATTCTCGTATATTAAAATCACGTTTAATTATTGTCAATACCTTCTTGATCGAACTCTTTGCAAATAATCGTTTCTTATTTTTCTGTGTGATTTATAGACTATTACAATTTACATATAAGTGAGTTTATTTATTGTGATTTTTCTAAGCCCTCAAAACAATTGGCTTTCACCAAACTCGACAAAGACAAGCTTTTTGGGGTGCACTTGTTGAGGATAAAATAGGTATATCACTTGTGAGTGGATTCTCTGACTAAGGTACGTGTTGGAAATCTATTTTTGGTTCTTCATATATAGTTTATGGCATTTTCTTTATGTCTTCTTAGTCTTACAGCTTCTGCTAATGATGCCTAATGGTAACTCCTCTTTGAATTGAATTATATGGTATTGGTTGTTGCACAAGTCTTATTTTATATTCAAAAGATCAGATGCCCAAAATTTGTTGGTTGTTTGAAAGGAAAAATAATTTATGCTCGACCAATTTCATGTCGAGCTGAAAGACAGAATTATCTTCAATTTCACATGTATGTAGTAACGTTTTTTGGAGAATTGATAGACGGAGGCGCAATTGAGTTAGTCAATTTCTCGAGGTGTGAATATTAGTGCATTATATTAAAAAGGGGGGGGGGGGGGGGGTCAAATAGATTATCAAACTGCACACAATAATGCAATTAAAAAACTACAATTGAATCTCTAAACTAACTCATTTCATGCAATTCGTCCAATTTGCAGGTTTTTCAGGTCCCCTAAATGTAAAATATTATTAATATATATATATATATATATATATATATATATATATATATATATATATATATATATATAAAGGACGTTGTCTCTGGTTATGGATTCGTCTCAATCAATTTGGTTGTTTGAAAAGAATAAGAATTTATGCTCAATCAATTTCATGGTGAGGAGTTAAAAGAAAAAAAAATCTTCAAATCTATGTGTATGCTGCAATACCCTTAATTGGGATGATTGATTGATGGAGGTTCGACTAAATTAGTTCATCTCACTAGATGTGAATATATAGTGTGGTATAAAAAATGAATGAATGAAAAAAAAATAAACTTGTTAATTGTTTGAAAGAAATAACAATGTATACTCGATTAATTTCATGTGGAGTTAAAACACAAAACAATCTTTAAACGTACTCTTGTGTATGCAGAAACATTCTTGGGAGTAGAATTACCTACCATAAATGGGGTCTGATCAAGCTCGAATTGGATTACTCTTTACCTTGTGAAATGTGGATACAAACATATAATAATAATAATAATAATAATAATAATAATAATAATAATAATATAATAATAATAATAATAATAATAATAATAATAATAATAATAATAATAATAATAATAATAAAACACTTATTATAGAGAAGAAGAGCATAACAATTATAGTGGTGTTCTTAGTAGTCAATCATGAAAAGCTCAATTGTCAAGTGAATGTCTTGAATCCAACATGGACTTTCCACTTTTGGTGTTATTTTATAATTTTAGTGAATTCCTCAAACTTTGAAACAGTTACACTTTAAGCTGGCATTACTAAAAGTTGAGGTTATATATATTAAAAAAAAAAAGAATTCTTTTGCATTCTCACTAGAAATCAACAATGGAACAAATGTGGCGGTTCCTTGTGGATACCAAGCACTGGTCCTCCCATCTAATGAATTACTCAGTCGATTTACATTTATCGGTCAGGGTGTGGAGCCCTAAGAGCGAAGAAATTTCACCTTTTGTGAACAACAATGGAGCAAATGAAGCTCAGCCAATGGGAAGCAATAAAAGGTAAATTTTCAAATTGGGCAAGTCACCATGAAAAGGAAAAGCATTTATCTTTACATTTTTCATCCAAGTAATGAAACCAAAAGTGTTTCCAAATGCTATTTTGCTGACAAAGTTAACTAGCTCTTCTCAATTGTAAAAAGACTGAATGTTGTAAAAATAGTTGGTTTCTCTATTGCTCTGTGACTGGACACTGTAAAAAAGGAATCAGATGTCAAAGCATGTGCCTTGTCACTTAGGTTGCATATAGATATACGAAATTCATTTCCGTAGTTGTATAAATAATACCATTCTTAGGATAATATGATACAATCTCACATCAGTTCCACGAGAGATTGTGAAGTGATACTTAAATTGGAGCCAAATCTTCATTCACGAGCTAGTTTCTGTGATAGATCGAGTTGAGGTCTTTGATTGAGTAGGCTACATGGAAGACCGAGGACTATTTACCGAGCACATACTTGATAAGGTCTCGAGTTCGAAGTGAAAGCTATCTAAGATGATGTAAGCTAGTCTTTATCATTATCCAAACCCCATTTAATCTTGAGTGGCTCAAGTCACTTCCTCCTGTACCCTTTTGTCATTCACAAGATTCTTTTCTTCCCTAACAATATCAATTGATCAAAGTAGAAAAAAGGGATTCTAGTTTGAGTGGTTTCTATTTTGAAATGTGGGCAATCCTTCATACTGATTGGGCTAAGTCTTCCATATTGTTCTAAGTATATTGTGTGTGCATGACCATTACAATTCTTTTGTTATTTGGTACTTAGAAGCAAAATGATGCTAAAGAAAATGACTTTTTTTTTTTCCCTTTCTTTCTGTTTCATTGTTTTCATTTAAAAATTGAGGTAAACTTCTATCTTTACTTTTGAACCAGTGGAGGATATATGATGACAGCTTTTAATGTTCCATCTTGAATGACTTCCTTTAAAAACAAAAATGGGTGGTTGGATTAACCTCAAGAAAAGGACCATAAACAGTTAATGCTTTTGAAGGAGGGCTGAAACCCAATATTGTGATTGATGTCTAATTCAACATGTGAATGCCAATCATATTCTCATTCTTTTTTTTCTCTTTTTTTTTTTTTTTTTTTTTTAATCCTAGTTTCACCGAATTAATCCTGAGTCTTGGGGACCCCGTCCCCTAGAACCCTGAAGGGTGGTAAATCGCGAGTACTCGACTAGCTCTAGGTTCCCAATACAACATGTACACTTCTGCGGACAAGAGACTGCCTCCACGTTGATTGTCATATTCTCTTCTATGCATGGCCATTAAAGCACATATAGATTTGTATAAGCATCTATGCATATGGAATACAAATGCAATGACAATTAATTAGGTACTTGATTGTGCTTCATGTTTTGGGTTTTGTCAAAGAATTTTAGACAATCTTTCTTGATCTCATGATGGATGTAATGGGATTTTCATCACTTCATTTAGGATTGCATGATACTTGCATTTTTCCCTAGAGCTTTCATAGGTTTTGTAGTTACGTTATACTCCGTAACTTATAAGATAGATTATGTGGTTCTCTTTACTCATGTATGCAATGCCTACTAATAAGACTCTGCAACCACCTTGGGGGCAACCCAGCCAAGTTGGTCAGACTGTTTGCTTGATAATCACAAGGATCCAAGTACAATTCCTAGTAGGAGCTAGCGGCCTATTGGCCTTCTTGGTTTGAGTCGGTCAGCTATGTGCAACTTAGACTGGTTTATCTCCTTGTGGTCCTTTGTCGACTAGGGTCACAAGGCGGGGTTTACCCAGTGCACATTCTCGAGTAGTAGCTGCGGGTTTCCTGGTCAACCAAAAAAAGAAAGAGGTAGTTTTCTTGAACTTGCTTAGCATCAAAACATTCCAATATATCCAAGAGGACTTTATGTCATAAGAAATTAGAGATTATCCAAATTTACATGTTATGGTTGTGGAATATGCTGTGATAATTATATCTAGAATAGTTATACACTCTCAAGTCTCAACTATGAATTGCAGAAAACTGTACTAAGAGATAAAACACTTGAATGAACAATGAAGAGATGTTTCATTCTTAACTATTCAACCAAATAAGTTTGGAATCCTTCTAATTTCTCCCATCCAAGTTGGTTTTTGGAATCATCTTTTTTGCATTTTTCATGACTGCAGATTGAAGAGTCACAAGGCACAAGGTT